TTTTCAAATCAATAAAATTTAGACACATATTAAAAGCCGATTTACTTCAAATCCAGCTGATCATTGCTTGGTGAACTTCCATTCCAGTCATGAAATGACATCTCTACACGAAGCTCCTTGGATATAACTTTCATCAATTCAAATTCAATTCCACTTGAGCGAGATTCCTGTGAATTCTTCGAAAAAAATTGTCCAAGTTTCGTGAATTTGATTCGAAGTAGTCCATTGTGTTCCATCAAATTTCCAGATTTGTTCGACTTTTGATACAAATGTGAAGCGTTTATTGCCTCATTTCTACGTAAGCTTGAAGAGTCTACCATTAGTAACACAAAATACAACGGCAAAAGGTATGATGAAACCATCCTTACTGATTGAACTAGACTGACCATTAATGGCACGGAATCGTCCTTACGAATCGATGAAAACATCCAAACAAATATAAACCAGTGAAAGCATCCAGGTTAATTGACTCGATATAACTAATGCACAAAATGTTAATTTCTCTTTTTTTTCTTGATTAAAGTGAATAATTGCTTGTACAATCTACCAATCCAAATGCGATAAAAAGAACAAATCTGATGAGGAAATCCATTAGAGGATTGCATATAGGTATGTCTTACTCAGATTTCGTATCGATAAATATAATCGATGGTGATTATTTTAAATTAACTTGATTTCTGCGCCATTGCCGTGGTAGATTTTGTAAATAATGTCGATGTCCATCACAAAATTGATCAATATACACCCAAATCCAATGTGCCTTTGGTTTATTCATACTTCGAAATGTGATTTGTTCAAGGCAGAACGTTAAGCAGGCACCAAAAATGAAGGGTAAATAAATTAAACATGTTTCCAGTTGTCAATTGGTGCGGCATTTGATATAAGGTACGAGAGTTGGTTTCAGGTTTTCGATCGTTAATCCATTTTGAAAGTAAACCAACTTCGGAGAGTCTGAGTATGCTGTCATCAATTGACGATTTCCAGATATTATCTTTTTTCATCCGTAAGGAAATGGGGAAAGTGATTACATTTTCCGAGCGATCAAAACAAAACAACTTTGAAAGGTCGGAGAGACCATGGCTCATAATGTGATTGTAAGAGCCTCCTACTGCCATGTTGTAGTTTTCATAATGTTTCAAACGGTTCAGACACTCGCGAAGATCTTCACATACATGAAATGAATCGATTTGATGTGACGTGTACTGGGTATGCGGAAGAAAAATGAGAAAAAAATTGATTGAAGTGAATCATGAGTTCTGAATACGCAAAAGTGAACCATGAACCTCCTATGCTGCCCATGTAAATTCATGTTTCACTTTTGCATATTCAGAACTCATGATTCATTTTTGCGAATTTTTTTTCTTGATGCGTTTCAGAATATTTATTCCTGTATTGCCATTTTCATTCTCACAGCCTCGATTGTTCAAAATAATTCAAATACTAGATGAGAATTCACTTGAGAAATTGAGACATAAAGTAACAAATGAAAAATTATAAAATATGTTCAATTCACCCTCGATTCAAATTTGATCAAATCCAACACTTTTTGTGTGCCCACAAGTCGAAAATTATTCACAATCAGTTCGTCAATCGATGTAATTTGATGCTTTTGCAGAGGTTCATTTAAAAATTTATGAGCGTAGGTTCCAATCATGATCGAAAAGTAAACTCCAATGATTAGCATCATGCCATAGAATATGCGAATTGCACCATGTATGGGCCGAAACTTTGGTCCAAGACCAAAGAATGCGGTCAATGAAACTTGCCAAATAGCATAATGGAAATTGTATACATTTTTCTACTGTGCCACATCCATACATACTTGTCTGCTATGAAAATGGATTGGAAGACCAGCGGGTAGTTCTTTGCTTTTTGAATGCACCACGTCAATTCATCTTGCATGTATGGCATCGAAAATTGTAATCCCCCTGTTTCATTCACATCTGGGAACAATTTGCCGAGCCACACATCTAAAAAAATACGAATAAGAATAATAAGATTATTCTAATCTCTTTACTGAATTATTCCTCATCCAGATAATGAGTCTAATGAAAAACTTTTTTAATAAAAAAAATTTGATTTTCTATGTATAAAAAATTGCTAAGTTCTTTCAATTATTAAAATATTATTATTCGAAAAAAAATTTGAAAATTGAATTAAAAAAAATTAAAAGATCATTCCATACTTGAAATTTTATTCTTTGTCTCCCAAAGAGTGCGACCTATTCCAATCTCGGAATATAATTTTCAGTTGGAACTTCTTCGTCAGCGTTTCCGTTAGTTTGAAATGGATGCCATGAGAAAAAATTCCATTCAAATCTTTGTATAGATGTGGTTCAATGTGGTTGTCTTCGACATGATGCAATTTTGTGTCTTTTTGTAGAATTTCATCTTTATTTTTTTCACTGCCAAATCCCGACACCACAATTACCGTAGCAAAATAAGCACAAAATAGTACAGAAATTTTCATTGTTCCTTTTCAAATCAAGCGTTTCAATGTGACTGATTGATTATTACACATTTCACCAGGATTTTATTCCATTTCCTGGTCCAATTGAGCCATATACGATTTATTGGTAGACATTTTTTGTTTTGGCCGTATCTTTTAGTATGGAGATAATGGAATTTTAAACGAGAGTTACACCCATTATGAAATAAAAGCAATTTTTAATCCTTCACTTATTGTCTTGCGAATCAATATCCATTTAGATAAAATATTAAATCACTTTGTCGAACTTCCGTGCAGTGAACAAATAAATGCCCAAACAACATGAGCGTAATTTCTGATAAAATAGGGAAATATATTTGGACAGAATATAGTGAAGATTCATAATTATGATCTATTATATCACTAGATTATAATCAAAAGTTAGGTGTGAACCACTGTATCAGTTTGATAAATCAAATTTGAATTTTATTTTTCTTCTCCTTATTCCGATACAATTTACACGAAAAAAAGTAATTTATTCAACAAAAAAATCTCGTGTGTCCAAATTTTTTTTTCTTTTATTGGAAAAAAATTATTTCACCCAAATGATAATAATTGGGCATTCATTTGTTCATTACACGGATATTCGACTAAACGGTACAATATTTTATCTTAATGGTTATTGATTCGCAAGAGTGAAAATAAGTGAAGGATTGAATATTTCTATTCTATTAACCATTTATCGATTGTCAGTTATACCCAGGAAAAAATATTAATGATTTACTTCGACTGAAACATCCAACATTCACAAATTTAAAGCATTGTTTAAAACTCCAACGTAATTTATTTTAAATATTCAGCCTAATTGTGGTTTTTAATTACGTCTAGCCACATTGAATTGTTTTCACTGAAATCATTAGGCGTGTACAAATGAGTGAATTCCATTAATATGTGCGAGATACATTTTTAGAAATAACAAGAAGAATTAATTTGTTAAAATTTCAAAGAATTTAATTTTTTCCAAATAATCGACCCAAAAATTATAATTACATAGTATACGAGTGTTCCACGCGATTAAGCCATTGAGGACCCATGCCTCAATTATTTATTCATGATTTTTTCACAGCCGTCTCGTTCCCATTGACACTCCCGAGTGGCGGTCATAACGCCCCGGACGGATATCATACTCTAATGTTATAGAAAACACAGAAGCATCCTGTTATGCCACTCATACTCCCATATAATTCCAAAGAATGAATTCGCATATAAAGATATACCAATGAATGACATAAACACATGTCAAGTTCCCTCAATTATTTGATTAATAAAAATTATTCAAAAATCATGAATAAAAAATTCAAAGAAAATCAATGAAAATCAATGAATACACTAAAAACATATCAATTATGTTATGATTATTAATGGATTATACAATACGTATTTCCAATGTAAAGTCTTCAATACCTTTGCATATACCATATACTGCTTTGAAATTCAATTAAAAATGCAAAAAAAAATTCCAAAGAGATTTCTAACTCATTCTGAATTGAAACCTTTATGCAAAATGCTTCTTTTGCCTTAATAGTAAAATGCGAGAATAATGTTGCCAAAAAAGGAGAGAAAAAACGCACGAGATATTGTTTTGGTATATTTTCGATCAAGTGAGTTGCAAGAACTCAATAATTTATTGATTCTCTCAATATCAACTAAATCAGTAAATGAAACATCAGTCGAACAAATATTGTGTTGGTTTTCTTTTTTTCTCGGTCACTCTTACAAATACATACAAAGTTCTCTTATATAAATTAAATCGCAATGCTGTTGTTTTGCAATATTTTGTGATGGATCATCGCAACGGCGAATGAATTTCAATAGCACACACAAGCAAAAAGAATGTAATAAGCCGCAAACAAAAGAATTGATTGAAATGAATGATCGCAAAGAAGAATAAGAAAAAGAACAAAAAACGACGCGAAAATTCAATTTCAATCTTCGATTTTATTTTTGATTCAAAAGAGGAAGAAGAAAACCAAAATTCATTTCTAAAACAAATATGTTTTTCGTTTACACAAGAAAATATTACAACTATTTCCTTTCTTTGTATTTTTCTTTTAAATTACTGACATTTAAATTAAAAAAAGAAATTTTTATGCATAAATTTTTTGACATCTTATTTTTTGTTTTTTCTCATTTCGCTTTAGCATTGTTTTCCATTCCTATTAAAAAAAAATTCCAATTAATTATTTACAGCCTATTTTGATTTCATTATTAGTTTTTCTTTTAGACACAATACGAAAATCTACACAAAAAATTGGATCTCTTAACATTGTTTTGCCGTTTGCAGTTCAACAAATATATCGCTAGGATAATTGTGAGCACGCGAATTTCATTTGCGGGGTTATTGTGCAAGCAAAGCAAACTAGAACAAAAACACCCGTAAAGTGTGTAATGTGAATGTGGTGGACTGACACGGCGCGAAAGAAAATGACAAGCTTTTGTTGTTGTTGGTGGTGGTTTGTCTTAAGATGAGATGATGCTGAAAATTGTCGTTTGCTTGTGTGTGTTTGTGTGTGTGTGTGTGTGTGTGCGGATGACAATCGGTTTGGAATTTACAATTCGTCGTGCTCTTCGGCTGGTGTGGCTTCGCCAGTAGCTTCATCTTCTTCATCATCCAAATCTTCATCGTCCTTAGGTGCTGGTTCGGCGGCCTTGACTTCGGCTTCAGCCTTCTTGCGCTCTTCTTCATCTTGTTGATCCTTGACCTTCTTTTCACCTTCTTGAGTGGCTTTGACACCGGCAGCTTGAGCCTTGGCGTATTCAATGTCGTCGGTGATCAAGAAATTGCTGAAGATTGTGCCCGATCTCACTTGCCACAAGTCCAAACCAACACCGCACACTTCTTCGCGCAAGTACAAGTTGGGGTCTGGTGTGTATTCTGGGTTATCGATTTCTGGATGCTTCCACACGCCCTTGTAGTTTGGATTGTCGATTTGCTTTGGTGACCATTCGCCTTTGTATTCTGGGTTTGGAATCATTGGTGGTTCCCATTCGCCGTCCTGTTTGCAATGAAAATAAAAAGTGATGGAATTTGATTAGTTTTTGATAAAAAAAATACTAATAATTTGAATTTTATTTTAAAAATGGACAATAAAAATTGTTCAAACTTTGCTTCTTCAGCACTTGCTTTCAGTCTTTGCAAACATATGGACATGTATGCTCTAAAATATTACTACATCGGAAAATTCGTTGAAATAATTCAGAATATCGATAAATTGAGATGAAAATTGGATTTTTCTGGTTTACACTTCAGCCGTGAATTTAAAAAAAAAAGTAGAAAAATTCTGTAATTTCAACAATTTTTTCTTTCTTTAATAGTTTCAACAATTGCTTACAATTTCATCTTCCCAATCATCTGGTCGGGTGGCTTCTGGGTCTTGGATGGTTTCTGGCTTGTCCCAATCTTCTGGCTTTTGGTCATCTGGGTCTGGAATGGTGGCCTGTAGTAAAATAAAATGAGAAATTTTTACAAATTTGCCATTTTAAACATGTTTCATTTCAATTTCAATATTTTTTGAGCAAAAATTTACTTTTTCAAGTTAAATTTGGGTATTTTATTCATTTTTTTTCTAAATAAATTTATTTCATCGAACTTTCTATTCATAAAAAAAAACCTGTAATACACTTACGCGTTCGTCCCAGTCTTCTGGTTTTTTTGCTTCTGGATCCTTGATTTTCTTTTGTGGCAAAAAGTCCCAGTCATCTTCCAAATTACCGGACTCAACCTTTTCATTGTCGATCAAAACTTCGTATGTGTTGTCTGGTTGCACGATCAATGTGTAGAAATGAGTGAAGACATCGTCTTTGCATCGGATTTCCTTGTTGATCAAATGGTTTTTGCCCTTGTAGCTGAAGATAACGTGCACTTTTTTGGTGCCAGGTCCGCAAATGTCTGGGCCAAACATCATCAAATATGGGGTTTCACCGTGCAAATTGGTTTGTTCCAATGAGCAATCAAAGACTTTTAAGTAGCCACCGCCGCAGTCAATGTTTTGTTCATGTTTCACGGAGAATTGCAACACCAATGGCTTGTCTTGGTTACTGAATGGAGTGAATTTACGGGAAATAGCATAGAATCGAGCATCTTGTGATGTTTGAAGACCTGAACGAATAGACGAAAAAAGAATTAGTTAATTGTCAAAAGCACATTGAAGCGATAATGTTATCGAAAATCCATTGAATGGGTAAAAATTAAAAGAAAAAATTAATGGAAATAGTCTCCTAGATCGTAACTATTGTAATGAAAACCGGATATAAACCCTAATTACCATACAGGTGATTTCGACCCAGAAATCAGACACACACACACGTAATTAGTTCCAATCTGTCTCATGTGCACTTTTAATGAACGCGTCAGCATTGTACACGAATTGACGACTTTTTAATGATGAGTATCAGACCGTTCTGCCACTGGCAGAGTTAACTACAATTCGAGTCGTGTACTACCGATAATGTACCCGATAAGCAACATTGTTTAACAATCATTTTTTGGTATTCAGTGAATACTATTCACCCATTAACTATTAACTGTCAACGTGGCCTTTGAAATAGAAAGCAGCACGACATCGTTTGTTTAAGCGATAACATTTTGTCGATGCGTTTTGGCTCAATGCCCAGATTTCAACTGGGTTTGTGTGATAAATAACCAAAAATATTAGGTGATATTTTCCGCCTATCGCTCTACTGACTGACGACGACGTCATCAACAAGATTAATCTGTCTGGTTTTTTTAACGAATTTTTCTTTTATCAGATCAATTCGGGATTTGAACCGGGTTTGGCATTTGAAGCAGATGTTTAAACTTTTTTTACTTTTGAGTTGATATGGTTTAGACGCTAGTAAATAGCTGCCTAGAGATTTTCTGTGCTTCGATAAGTGTCAATCAGTTGAAATATTGAATGAGTCTAATAAATCAATGTAGAAGCAAATGGAAAATTCATCATGATTTTTTCAATCGAAAACAGCATTTTTTTATGAAGGAATTTTTCGTGAAAATAACGAAATGAATGGGGCACATTTTTGGAAAAGAGCAAATACTTTTTTCTTTGGATTGCTTTCAATTCACTATCACACAACTGAGTAACACACATACACTCTCACACACACGTTGAGTTTCTAGATGTTTCATGCAACGTGTCCACGTATTGACTTAACGCCCAAAATTCAACTGAACTCAAAAACCACCGACAATATTCCACTTGATTTTCGTGTATTTTGTGCAGAAAAAATTACGGTGTGCGTACCTTTGTCGTTTTCAGCATCGTTATAGAATTTGCCAGCAGTTAATTCGAATTTGCCAAATTCTTTGCCCTCAGCCTTGCTGTACACCCAGTTGTCTTCCCAGTTGCCTAAAAAAATGAGAAAAAAACGAATTTTGATTAGTTTTTAATAAAACCGAATTAAAAAAATGAAAAATTCAAGTGTATGACCGCAGTGTCACACCTATTCATTGTCTTAGGTCTGACATGAGAAAACGCCACATCAGACCCAAGAGAGAGAAAAAAAAAACTATCATTGTTCATTCCACTCAAAATGATAAAGAGAAGAAAAAAAGAACCATACCTTCTTTGAATTTTTCTTCGAAGAAAACATCGGCAAAAGCGGCCGATAGAACGGCACAAATCACTAAGCTAATCACTTGGACTTGCATTTTGTCGTTAGAGAGAGAGAGAGAGAGCGAAAAATGCGCTTATTTCAACTTTAAAAACAAAATTGAAGCTATTCAACAGAGTTCCAACTAATTTATTGAACGAACAAAAACCCGGTCTATTCAGTGTCCCAGCCGCAAATGAAGTGTGTGTATTCGGTGTAATGACAGTTCCAATATACACCGCACAATGTTGTTTGACTGAATAAAACATTCGCATGAATCGAGCGTACGACAGACGTGCGCATACGTGCGTCGTGCTTTTCATATGCATTCGAAAGAGACACAACGATGGGTTGCGTGTCGTTGATCACAACAACTTCATACATGGAGTAATGTGATTGGTCGACACGAAAGCCAATGGAATGAATACAGCGGACGCATCGACACATCAGTTCAATACGAATTCGCCAACACTACGAATTGTCGCGTACACACGAATACACGAAATTTTGTTTACGTTTGATGCAACGACCAACAAAAAGAAAATTGAAGCTAATCTCACTTTCATCACAGTATACCGTTTCAAATACACATTTCATTGCAATACATGCACAGAAAAATGTTACACGAACGATTTTGATTTTAATGACACGATTATTGGAATTATGCGAGGCAACGCGATTACGATGGAATTTATTAAAACATGAATTTTTCATTTGATTGAGACGAATCATATCATTTTAATTTCAATGCAATTGGATGACAACTGTGATTTTGTTTTTCAACGGAGCTGAATTTGACATTGATTGTCATTTGATGGATTCCTTACCTAAATTTGGGCAAATTTTACATCATTTTTAAACTGAAATCTATTCTATTTCCATTTATTTCCAACTATTTTATTTATTTACTCGTTTAAATCGGCTTTTCGAAATCGCCACAATGAAATAGGCGGATTGGTTGGATGGAGACGCCCGCTTTAACTTTATTCTTTGAGCGATATTATGAAACTTTGGGTGTGTGAGAAGTTTTGTGGAACAATAAGTTTTTCGAAACATTTTCAGGAACCGCCAATAGGTGACGTTGAAGTGTTGCAGCGAAAGTCCGATGTTTCACTCAACAATCCAATTCGAAATTGTTCAACATTGTGACTCAAAAGATAATTGGCACAATAATGTGAGAAAAAAATCATTTTCAATTCGTACGGAGTCTTCCATGCGGTCAGATGAGGTGCAACAGATGATTTTATATTAGAATTGAGTTCAAATTTTGGACGATCTGAAAATCTGTACGAAATAAGTTTTCTCTAAAAAAAATTCAGCTCAAATTGAGTTAAAATGAAATTTATTTGATATTGAAGTGGTTTATAAAGAAATGAGACTTAACTATGGAACTTTCGTTCTTTCAACGAAATGAGAACTAAAATCAAAATCTTCTTTTCATTAATTATAAACTTTGTTGACATTCCTTAAGATTAAAATGAAGTTTTGAGTCAAAAATTTAAAATTAATCAAATGACAGAATAGTATTCAAAAGAGAGATAAAAATGTTCTTCATTAAAAGTTAAAATGAAGAGGAAAGTATAAAAAATTGTATAGAAATCGATGCGCCAAATATGTTCATTGAGCCCTTTAAGTTCGTTCGACGAGACGAAAAAGCGCGTTCAATGTGAGCATCGTTCAAAAATCAGGTCATTGCATCGATGATCAACGCTTTGTTGAGTGGCATGCCATTCTGATCCCATTGCAGTGACAAAGGCCTCACGTACCGATTCGTTGCCGTACAAGAATCGTAAATGTAGTTTGACCAGAGACTTGGACACGGCAATGAACTGGGCCAATCGACTGGGCGATGAAATGAAGTCACCGTAAACGAAGAGTTCAGCCAAATGTGAGAGTTGAATAGCAAGTAGCATCAAATTTTGATCCATATTTTCATCGGCAAATACACAATGACCGGGCATCAGGACGAGGGTTCGTAAAGATTTATTCTGAATGATAAACTCGATCCATTTTTCTCCGTGTCGAGAGAAGCCATTCAAAACCAAATGTTCGAGTCGGTCGAATGTGAGTGGAACACGGGTTGGACGTGTGCCTACACCAGAAATGTGCACTGTCAACTGATTCACCTGTTTGAAGTTGATCACTTCGCCGGAATATGTCGAAAAACTATCGTTTTGACATTGTATCTCAAGCACTTCGAGCTCCAGCAGCAACTCGTTGATCAAACACAATAGCTCAACGCCCATTTGGTCACCGAAGCGGAGAGTGTTCACCTTGCGCAAATGTGGCATTGTCAACAACTCTTTGCGAACACTTTGCAATATTTCTGCGGTTGACTTTTGACCAGTTGCTCCTAGATTTTCTGCCATTTTTGCTGTAGAATGGGAAAAAAATCTAATTAGATTCGATTTGCTTTGATTTGATTTGTTTGCT